CCTGAAACTTTAATAAACGTTTCAAATTTTGTCCCAAGGTAGACCTTTCAGTACTTGACTTTTCAAAAAAAAATTATTAAAATCGGTTTACAACTTCAAATTTTAGGGGGGTGTTTCCATCAAAAATGGGTCAGACTGTATATGAATTCATCAGAATCAAAACATCTCTTTTCCTCAGCTTTTTTATGTAGTATCTGTGGAATTGATTTTGTGACTGTAAATTTCAATAAGATAACAGTTTCGGAAAGAATATCCCTCAGCCTCTGTCGCCACCAATAATTTTCTTTTACAAGTTATCCAACCGCTTTCAAAGATTGCAGTCATATGTAACAATGATGATTCTGATAACATTCAATTACTTTTTATGTAACATGAATATCTAACCATCTATAAATCTTTATCATCGAAATACTGTTGTGTCGAGTGTTTGAATCCCCGGACTACGTACCCTTAACAATGAAATTTCAGTTTAAAATAATCCCGCAGCATTACTAATAATCTCATATCCCAAATTTAAAACAACTCCCTGTACTCCAGTAAACATCCCCGAAAACAATAAGTGGTCCCGAGAGAACGAAGGGCACCGGGGGTGAAACAAGCGACGAACTAATGGACCTTGACCGTATTAAACCGAGGTTCACCTCGTGTTAAACAAACGGGGACCTCAAAATTAGTCTCTCGCCAGCGTACACCAATTATACGTGATCTACTTTGTATTCGAAACAGGTGGCTTGTACTTGGATTAATTCGACACTGATTTAGGCATTACTTAGATGTCCGTTTGTACGTTCTTTTCATCGGTGCTAGGCCCCTAGACCTGTAGAATATTTGCAGTGAATTAATTAAATGGCATTTATTTATATGAAAGCCTGTAGACAGCCCATTTTATTCGTAATAAAATTCAAGACGGGATTTAACAGTATTCCGAGATTAAAGTTGTAATTTAATGGGGATAATTTTGATGAATTTCGATTTCAGACTCGGACTTTTTGTCAAATTCCCGATTAAAAACTCCGAATTTCAATAAATCATGATTTTGAAGCCAGCATTTTATTAATTTGAACTTTAAACTCGAAATTTCATTGAGTTTTCGATTTTAAACTCGATATTTTGTTGTATTCCTACTTTATACTCGGTATTTTCTCACATTCTGACTTACTTTGACCAAGTTCAAATAGATATATGATGGAATGGGCCGATACTTGATAAAAATCCATAACTAACGCATTCAAAAAACACTTTATTGTGAGATCGAAGAATGCAAAGATAGAAAATTATTACAGTATTACTAAATCTAGAATTACTAAATCTAAATCTATTACTAAATCTATATAAATTATTACAGTATTACTAAATCCTTTAAATTCAGTTATAAAATGCATTCGTAATGATGTTCTTCTTGGATGAAATCAATGTCTTCATTCTATCAAATTTTAGGGGCAAAATTTTGTCTCGTTGCAATCCAGTGACTTAGTACATAGGAGGGAGTATTCTGAACCCAATAATAGAAGATCTAAAGTAGGAGAATCTGTGTCTATAAATAACGATTTGATCTCCTTCTTCAAGAGAATAAAAACCTTTATCTTTGATGATGATTACATCAATCCGTCTCATTGGAGACACAAACATCTCTTGCATCCTTGATAGTGTGAAACATCGAAAAAAGATCGGGGATTCGTCTCCTCTATACATACTTTTACGGTGTTCAAGTGACGTGGCACATTAGATTCTACCAAGAGCGGTACATATCAGAAATACGCGACGGACTGTGGCTGCTCATCGTTTTGAGGTTCAACTCAGTACACTTCGAACGTCACTGTTTGAGGACTCTTTTTTTTGGTGAACTGCGTTTATGTAGAATAAACCTCTTGAGAATGATTTTTCAAATGGATTTAATATGAATCGCTATTTTCGCACGGGCACCGCTCTTAGAGCGCCATAAGGATTTCCTGTAGTGTGTGTTTTGTCCTTAAAAAAACAGTTGTGTATATATTTTCAATTTGGCTGATGGCTGAATCCCATGTATTCATCATTTCTTCCATTTTCTTGTGTGGGTTTTCGTGTTATTGATATGATGAATAAGAACATTTACTATTATTATTATCATTAGGAAATTAATTCAATTCATAGCATTATATACAAAAAAATGTTTTTGCCCCTTTGGAAACAAGATGCCACTTACATCACTGCTGAAATTCCATTCGAAAAGAAATAGTTTTCATACCTTATTACATTTCTTAAGTGTATATATTCACAAGCACTGATGGAAAATTATCAAGAAGCTTTTTGTTACAGTGTAGCATTCTCAAGTAGTTGATGGAGTTTTTTATTCTAAATATGATTCCAAGTTATTTAAATTTAGACCCTTCAGATACTCCAACATATTACTGTTCAAATTAATACTCAATTAATCAGTTGTTGTGGTTGAGTGTGAAAATTATAATACTACTTGATCTTCCATTAGTCTACCCAGAGTCTAGAATGAATTCTTCAGTACAGAGAGGTGAGCTATGTAATGAAATGACTGACATATTTGATGAAAACTTGAGAAGAACCGAGAACTGCGTATGGATGAATATTCTAAAGAATGTAAAGTTTCTCAATTTTTTCTTGCATCTCCCTGCGTCGTTAAAGTTTTTCCCAACGAAGATATCCTCATTTTCACGACGTTTATCCTATGAATCGATATCTAATAATCCATCACCGAAGACGTATTCATTAAACAAGCCTGTTTACCTCCTCCCTTTCGCATACGCCAAGTCGTTATCAACTTCAACTTAAGATATATGAAACTCGTTATCGCATTTAGCGAGAGAGGTATACGCTAGACTGGCGGTAATAAGTTGTCAGAAGGTCTTGGCATTCGAGAGAGACAACAACAATAACTCATCGCATATAACCATGAAAGATGGTTTCATTGGTGTAGGCGAGGTGTAACATCAATAAAAATTAATTGTTTCAACGAAATATTGAAGACATCAGTTAGCTATGTGATCCGGCTCGAAGGACCAAAACAATCAATTGAGTTCTTATGTTCTTTAGATTACTCTCGTCAGTAACATTTCAATAGTTCTACGGATTTCGCAGCAATAAAACGTCATTTTAAGCTGACTCATGTATTGAATGAAAATGGAGCCTGCGAATTATTATTGACATATCCCAAATTGATGAGATTTTTTTTTTTTAATTACGATCAAAATTGGAAAACTTCAAGGAAATTAAAGATAGAAGTAGAACGTATTTATTTTGTCAATCTTTGCAATCTTTGTTATAATAGTATATTATGCAACGATCATGTAATGATGGTTATTAAGACACGAGCATTAACCGGGATACGAAACGAGCCGAAGGCGAGTTTTGTATGGTATATGCGAGTGTATTAATAACCATTACATGGGAGTTGCATACGCTATTTTTTCTAAACCCGATAAATAATGAAAAACTATAAATATTATATTTGTATTGAACACATTTACAGTAATTAACTCATATTTTTTATAAAAACACAAACTTAATGGTATTATCATGGATATATGAAAACTATAAAGATTCTAATGATATTTATATTGAATATAACAACTGTAATTAATCTGATCTTTTAAAAATATTGGAGTCGATGGTATTCCTTCTATATCGCTGTTTTCAGACATTTTGATAATATAGGTAGGTAATATGAAAACTGATTTTGACAAATAAAGCAATTAGTTACTTAGGTTAGAATCTAGGACAAACAAAGGAACAGGATTCTTGATTGAAAAACTATGGGTTTCTATTGGTTGATAATCTGTATCGTTATGAAAAATCTATATCATAATGGATATCATTATGAAACGGATTATGGTCATATAAGTGTATTGTTAGAGTACGGGTGTAGAAAAATATTTTAAACTTATTTTCGTTATCAAAAAACAAGTACAGACAGGATACAGGAAATAATTAAATGGAAAAACCCAAAATTGTACCCTAACTACTTGGTGAAAAATACATTAGGGAATATAAAAAGGTGTCGCTTTTATTTGAAATTTTTATAAATTTTTCAGTATAAATTCGATGTAGTTTGATCGATATATTATTAGTAATGGAGATCATTACATTTCTGAATAGCTGAAAGGCAAGACTACTTTCGAAATTGAACCAATGAAAGAATGAATGATCGATTGAAAATAAAACAAATGATTAGCACTCCAAAAACATATTCAAAATCAATTCCAGGAGCATACTGTTATTGAAGAATATTTTCAACATTTTGGCTTTAAACTTCTCCATTAAAATGGAGTACGAAAATAATTTCTGAAAATGACATGTAATTAACAGTTTTTCGGTTATTGATTAGTATCAATTTTTTTCATTTTCTAATGTGGACTACTTTTCTGATTTGTACCTGAGACACCAAAAATATTTTCTAATATTTTGAAACAAATGTTCTTATTCTTTCAGTTCTAACGTTTCTATTGAAGTTTGTATTTTGATAACATCTATACAAATACAAGTTGAAAATTACTCTTACGAACGCTACTAATTAGTCCGTTTACCGATACCAAAAGCCTGTGAATACGAATGAATGAATGCAAAATAAATGTTTCAGACTGAGCGTAGACTGCTAGAGCTAACAATATGATCAGACATTCTTGCGAGGAAAGAATATTCTAAAGAAAATTCGCGAGCTTTTCAATGTACAAATTTATGAGGCCATAGATCGTGTGACCGTAACAAGTGAACTAATTGTCGATATCGAAGTAGAACTGTTTTAAGTGAATTGAAGCCATTAAATGAATTTCATTCAATGTAGGTACTACTAATTCATTGTACTACTGATTCAAAATTCACAAAAGGCATTTTATGTCTATTGTGAATCCTTATGATCTATTTTGCGAAATGTCCATTTCTAGGATATCATTATCCTGAAATTCAATATTAATGAGAAGGCAATCAAGCGTTGATGTTAAAGATTTGAAAATACGATTATCAAATGACCCTTTTCCTTTAAAATACCTTCTTACTATCATCACGTAAATGACCCATGTTTGACACGAAATAAATCCCTGTCACTGAACTCACTGACAATTGCCTTCATTGGAAATTGACTGGATCTATTTCTTACTTCTATTTACTGCTCAAAACCAAACCTTCCGATCCATTTGATTGACTGAATCGATATATTATAACCGAAACACGTATCTCGACCCCCAGATCTACGCCTATGCTTGTAGTTAGGACGCACAACAGGGTACGGCAGCCGACAACGGAATTACTTACGCCCAAATGATTCCATTTCAATATGAGGACAAAAGAAGGGCCCCGCGATACATATACATGTATCAGATATGGGCTACAGACAGCCAGAGATGAGAGAAAGCTTCTAGAGAGAATATTTTCAAAGGGAGAAATATAGCAAGCACCATTATCTTCACCAAAGTTTGAAAAATTGTTGTTCTTTTTGCCGATCGTGTCTGTGTTGATTTTCAAACATCAAAGTTATTGGAAGCTACGATTACTCCATATAATTGTAGCTTCCAATATCCTGATGATGCCAATTTTGTTGGGTAGATTTATATCGAGAATAAATTTGTCACAAGCTGGTTTGTGAAATAAGTTGAATGTATACCACTCCAAAGGTTTCAATTCTATCTAAAAATATATATGATATATGTTTGAAATCTTTGACAGACTTCTGAGAGATCTTGAATCCCCTACAGATTTCTTGAGTAGGTACAAAAAATTCAGGACTGTCTTTTTTAACGATAGTACAGCTAGTTTTGTTGTCAAATAAGGGATGTTGAATATTTCGTTTACATATAGGTCGCGTTATCCTTCAAATTTTCCATTTTGAACTTCCAAACTTTCGAAACATGTAGACCACATGTTTCTTAATCAGTCAGTTGCAAGTTGAACTACTACATGATTAATTACAATTCAAAGAGTAAGGACTTTTACAACATTAAATATGGCATAAGAATAGTAAGGTTTTGTGCTCATCACTCAGTATCCAGCCAAAATTCATAAAGTTCTAGAAATAGTCGCATGTAAGAAAAAATAAATATTGAGTGGATACAATTTAGGCTGCAGGCAACCTCAGGTTGAGGAAAAATCAACTATATTTTGGTCGTAATCGATGAATTGGTCGGGGCCTTGCAATACGGAATAAGAATTAGCCTGTGAGACCACCGGATCTTAGTGTACTAGTAGGTACTTTTTGTGATCACAACTTTTATCTTCAATCTAAGATAACCTTATCGCGAAGGCCCATCATTGGGCCGCCATGTTGAACAGTATCTCTGATCAATGCCCAAATCAGGGATTTGTTATTTTATTGTATTTCAAGTTTTTATTTTCATATCGTGGTGATATTTTTTCCATAAAAATATATGTTAAGATAACATATTTGACATTAGAGGAAATATAATGATCATTATATGGAAAGTTGAGAAAGACGCCCCTTTCTATGGGAAACAGAGATTCCCATGTAGATAGACAGAGCCAAGTTTGGCTCCTCCTAACCTGTTCTCGATAACTAGTAGATATCTCGATGGCCGATGGTTGGGGTTGGTCCTCGAGATAGGACTTTGCATAGAGGTCCTTCTAAAATTTTACGTTCAATATCCTCAAAAAAAATGTTGGGCCTCGAGATAGGACTTCGACCTCAAACTGAGATGAGGCATCCCCCCTTAATTTAACATCAAATATCCCCAAAAAATTGTTTGGTCCTCGATTTGGGCCACAAGATAAGAACTCGACTTGACCCTTTACTTAGTCCTGGATTTGGCCACCGAATTATTCCTCGCGTCTAGAATTAAAATGTTTGTGAAAATTGTGTAACAGGTCAGTCCATTCGTAATTTGAAATTAACGTTATTTGCAGATGATACTACTATATTTTGACATGACGTTGATGAAATCTCTTTACTGAATGACATACAAGGCGAACTTGAAACGATAATAATAACCTGGGTTGCTAATATAATCTTCTTGTACTCAGTATCCCCAAAACTGATTCATTAACCTTCAAATAGGAACTTGTAACCTTTATGCCTGATTCAACTAATATTAACTCCTCATAAAATTCTTATGTCTTCATAGTGATACTAGCTTAACATTCCATGGACATGCCCGAAAACTATCTGAAAAATTATCTTCTGGATGCCATCTGGGTCATGAATCTGCTTACCATGAATTAATTGAATTACATATGAATATACAATTTTTTTTGGGGTACATGCCATAAAAGTTCAACGAAGAAGGTCTAGGTTGCGCAAAAAAGAGCCATTAGGGTACTTTGCAAAATTAGTAGCCAAGATTCGTGTAAGCAATATTAAAAAAATACAGATCTCTATATTCATTTTGGAAGCATAGTGGTTGATACTCAAGCACCATAATTTATATCAAGGATCGTCTCAGAAGCTATTTTTAGTGAAAATCCGTGTTAGTTTATCCAATTCAAATGCAATGTTACTGTTCACTGCATTATACTTTTTATGCACTCATCTATTTTTTGATATTTCCTTATTGATATACATTTCTGTTGTTCCTTTTTCTTTTTTCTTCCTAATATCTGAATTGAACGGAGAAACATACTCAGTATATGTAAACCTTGTTTTCTCTCATTTTCGTTATTTCAATTGTTTTCATCATCGTCAACTGAAGTGATAAATGTCATTTCCTGTTCAAATAAATGAATTCGCCTCTATTTTGGAACCGTTAACTCAATTTCTTTGTTAATGTATCTGTTTTCCCCGCCATTCAAACCTATTTGTATATCACTCTTGTAATCTGTAAATATCCCTTTTCCCTCTTTAGAAACAGAATATCCAAATATATTACAATATACGTATCCGTTTCCTGCTCTCCACGGCATTATTGAATTTTGTGTAAATTGGAATCCCGGGAGGCTCTTAATACGATATGAATGGAGTCCATTCAAACAGGCAAATATCTACTTAAAGTATCCTTACATTCGCAAATAAATTGAGTTTGTTAGTTAAATGCGGAGCAAACTACCGGAAAGTCGTCAAAAGTACCGACAAAATACCTGAAAGCATTACTTGGTAAGCATATAACAAGAGATTTTCAACATGGGTAAATTGCATTAAGTGGAAATAATAAACAACTGCTATTAGGTGACGTTATTAAACGAAAAATATTCATTTTGAAAAACATCTTTCGCAGGTAATATTAAAAAAGGAGGACGAATAATTTGCCCAATTTTTTTTAATCACTATTTTTTTTTCGAAAAGAAAGGGGTATATTTTTAGATGAGATTAATAATTGGGAAAGAAAGGTTTTAGCTTCCTACTTCTACTACTTCTACTTCTCTCAACAAAAAAATCTGTTTTTACAATAGATTATACAGTACTGTAGTGATAAATATTATTAGAATAATAGTTGAATATAGAAGATAATTTTCATTTGTGCAATTAATTTCATTGCATTTTAGCATTTAAGTGAAAACCGTTGAATCAGTCGAGTAATATCAAGACTTCGAGGGACATGGACACAAAAATACACAATTTGCTAACACTAAGAAGACACTTGATGATTACAGATATTATTGTGCCTATGTGCTTGTGAGCCTGTCTTAATAATAATAACTATCTTTATTCAATCCTTACAGATCACAAACAGCATGATATAGGATACGCCACAAATAAAAAACCGTGTGATGGTAGACAATTTTACAATCAACAATATTGAAATATTACTATTTAATAGATTTGTACACATATACATGAAAACATTTATTACATTTATGTTCATAAATCTCAGCAAATACATTTTCATTTTGCACTTCCTTACATCAGAGGATTATCGGAGAGGATAAGAAGAATTGGTTCCAAGTACAACATCAGAACCTGCTTCAGATCCGGTAACACTATCTGTAGCAGCCTCACGAAAACCAGGCCACCAAACGCGGACTGCGATTCCAAGAATTGCATTTACCGGATACCCTGTGAGTGCGGAAAATCCTATATTGGTGAAACTAAGAGGCCATTGAATGTTCGCATTGCCGAGCACAAGAAACACACACAGCGAGGGGAAACCAGCAAATCAGGAATAGCAGACCATGTTTGGACCCATCAACACAACATCGAGTGGTCCCAAGCTGAGATCATACACAGAGAGGACCATTGATTTAGGAGAAAATTCAAGGAAGCCGCATACATGCTGTCCAACAACGTATTCAGCCAAGCTAGCGTAGAGATACGCAACATATGGAAACCCATCATCAAGCGAAAAATGGCCAACTCCTGCCAAACGGTCATCTCCTACTGAACCAGTAAAGCGGAAAAAATGGAAAGCGGGGATAAGTGAAAGTACTCGAACGACCCATAAATAGTCATCTCTCGGATAAATCAGTCCGGTCATTACCCGAAGACGATTGTAGATACTAACAATCGAAAGGTCGTGAACTAACGTGGCCTAACTTTTTATTTTCATTTTTATTTTTTGTTCAATCTTTCTATTTTTACTCGTATTTTACTTCACAATTATTCATTTCAGGTTATTTTTGCTTAATATAATTGTTATTTTCAGCTATTCATTTTTAATTCTTCTTTTTTAGTAGTTTCAGGGATTTCAAATCATTTCATATATTAGACAATGGAAGTCCGAACTAGTGAAAGAAATTTTTTGATACTATAGTATCAATTGTCCTGCAAATATACTTTCAATTTTGATTTGAAGAAGTATTTATTCCGTTGCTTCCTCAGGTTTGCGGGAAGATGATTAAAAAACTTTATGCCTCTATATGAGGGGCTTTTTTCATAGAAAGCACTTGACAAACACTTAAATATCAGTCACAGGTCTACACCTAGAATGGAAATGCATACAGACTGTTTTCTCTGCATTCACTATCAAGAAATTTCTTTCACACCAACTTATGAATTTTTCTGCTAAATTATTTAGTTTTTTTTTGTAAGTCCTCAGGACTATCTAAATCAATGGCTAATGTAGTATCATCTGCATACAGATCTACTGAATCTGAACTGATACAGTCAGGTAGATCGTTTATGAATAACAAAAAAAATA